ACGACGAGGGATGGTGTCCGTCCAGCTGCATGGCTCTGAGCTGAAAGTCTGGGGGTGTTTGTAATGGAGAGGGGAGGGGAGCTGACCTCGCACATCTCAGAGAAGGGACTGCTGCAGATTTCCCATTCTGATCCGGTCGGGGGCATTTGCATCAGGGGCTTTAGGCTCTGATCCTGGAAGTGGTCATGCACAGGAGCAGGGGCTTGGTTTGGTTCCATCTCTGACCTGCAGTCAGGATCATGACGGGACGAACCCGGATGTCTTTGCTGTACTGAGTCCTCGTGAAAGCAAAGCCCTTCCTGCAGTCAGGGGGAGCAGTGAGCGCTCGGGATACCCCAGGACTTGGCCCCTGGGCACCAATGGGAATTGTGCCTGAAGATGTGCGGAGTCCAAACTGAGCAAGGACCTCCGGGGTGGGCCGTATAACTCAGATCTTTTAATCTAAACGTTGTCAGTAACTGAAGGTTGTGCCCTCGGGAACTGACCTTCAGTGCGCTTCAGCTCTGCAGCCCTAGTGACAGGGTAACCCCTGAAGGGTCAGAGGCCCAGTGTGGGTTCCAAGCTGAACCCCTCTCGCCAGGAACTCAAGCTGAAAGTCCTAGCTCACCTCATGTCCCGTCTCGAGATATAAGAGTTGGTCAAACTTTGGAGAACTCTGAACAAGGGTTAGCTTGGGGTTGGTGGGCTGGGTGAACGATCTGGATGGTTCTTATTGCCTCAGAACCAGTGTTCCCCCCGCTTTGATTAATACAGGGCCCAGGAGAGGCCAGCGCTAATGCTCAGCGGATGTTCTGAGGCTGCCCATCCAGCCCCACTAAAGTCAACGTAGAGGCATGTGGGATAGAACTGAATTTGGCCTGACGTCTTGCTGTCCTGGATTTTTGGGTTGTATTTTCCACTCAGCTTGGCTGTTCTTACCTGAGTTATTTACTGAATAATTCATTCGCCTTCCCGGGTCCTGAAACGTTCCAGCTCCATGTGATACTCACGGAACATTACTCTAGTTAACGTCTAATTACACATTACATCAAAGCTGCTGTGGAGCCACACGGAGCGGCTGCAGAACGACGACGCGTCTCCAGCAAACCACACCGTGCGGCACGTTTGAGGGACTCCAGACAGCTGGATCGCTCGGGACCGGCAGGAAGGGAGAGCCTCACTCACCGTTACCCATCCACTTCCAGACCCCAGCCGTCCCCTGGCTTTTAACTCTCCCATGGTCTCCGCATACCCCTACATGCTCCCCACACCCAACCCTGCACATGTCCCTGCCCCCATTGCCACGTCCTCCCTGTTCCCTCCTCCCCAGAGCCAGCTCCTCCACATGGGGCTCCTTCCCCTCCGGGCCCAGGCCTGCAGCCCTTGCTTGGGCAAAAATTCCCATTGATAGTCAAGTCAAGAGGCCAAATGCTGCTGCTGTTGGAATCAGCAGGAGGCTGGACTCTCCTCCCCCGCCTCTACTGGCTGACTCTGGCAGGGCATTTCCTGGTCTCCCATCTGCAGGGCTCTCTCTGGACTGGTTCCACGAGCAGCTCGCTGGCAGAGCCGGCCAAGCCCACTAGATCGCTTTCAGCGCCCCGCCCACACGCACGCGGAGGCCTGTCACGCGGCGTTGCTGTTGACAGTTAACAGCACGGCTTCCCATGCCGTCTGGCATTAGCGTGAGTGACACAGCACCGCTCCCTGCGCCAATCGGGTCAGGAGAGGTGCACGGAACCCCTCCGAGACCCCGGACGTGGCCCTGCTGAGCGCAAAGCCCTGCGTTGGGGGTGAGGGGACGGCTAGTTACTTTCCTTAGCCCCTGGGAGCCCTTTGGGAAAGCGGCAGTATCCTCTCAGGGGGAAATGCTCCTCCTAGTGCCCAGCCCCAGTCACTCAGTGGCCACGTGGCGAGGGAAGGAATTTCTCCGGCTCACAAGGTCACCGCAAAGTGATAGCAGCTGCTACTCCTGCCTTGGGACCTGCGTGGCCATGGCAGTCCCCCCACCTCCCCATATGCAGGCAGGAGCAGGGGCTGTGCCTGCTCCAGATTCAGGGGTGCAGGAGCCTCCAGACACCAGGTACCCCCAGTGCAGGAGCCAATGGCTGGTGGAGCCACACGGTGGCAGATCCACCACCCCTGCTCCATCCTGCACATGCCCCCAGGCAGCCCCTGCAGAGCTAAGAGAAGGTACCTCCCCCTGCACAGCGAAGCCCCTCTGGACAAGAGGAAGGGGCAGGATTTGGGACTAAGGTCTTAGGCTGACACAGTTACAGAGCTCAGGGGTGTGAAAAAGTCACAACCGAAGTGCCGTAGTTCTGCTGACCCAAGAATTCTTCCATCAGCCTTGCTCCCGTTGTTGGGGAGGTGGATACCTACAGCAATGGAAAAAGCCCTTCCACCGCTGTAGGCTGCGTCAACGCTCAGGGCTTACAGCGGAGAAGCTACAGCTAGAGTTAGCTAGACAGAGAGGATATAGCTTCAGACCTTGTTAGGGTGACCAGATGGCAAGTGTGAAAAATCGGGACGGGGGTGGGAGGTAATAGGCGCCTATATAAGACAAAGCCCTGGATATTGGGACTGTCCCTAGAAAATCAGGACATCTGGTCATCCTAGGCCTTGTCTACACCAGGGATTTGCTCCAATTTCAGCCATCAGTGTAGACAAGCACAGCTGCTATTTGCACCAACAAAGTCTGCCCCTGGTGGAAATCGGTATTGGCTTGGCCAGTGCAAACAGTGGCCGTTCCTGTCTACACCACAGGTTGCACCAGCGCAGCTACACTGCTGGCTGAAACGGAGGCAAATCCTCAATGGAGACAACCCGCCCTGTTCCCCCTGCATCTCCCTCTTCGTCAGCCCATGTGCTCCCCTGCTTCTCCCCAGTCGCTCCGCTAACAAGCCCCTTCCCTCCAGCTTGGGTCTACGCCTCGTGGGTTTGCCCAATGCGAGGCAGAAATCAGCCGCCCCTGCTCCACAAGTCAAAGGGAGGCTTAAATCAAATCTTCCTCAGCAACAATGACATTAATTATGCTTTTAACACATTTTACTGCTTTTTCCCCCCCTCACTTCACGCCACATCTGTGTGAACAATATCGAAAAGATTTACGATCTTCTTTCGTAATTGCAGCTACACAGCCCCGCTCACTTATCAAAATACTCGCTGAGCCATCAGCCTCTGCCGGGGAGCCGTGTTGACAGCAGCCATTCAAAACAAAAACGTTGAATCAGGACTTGTGTGTCGCTTCGAAAGTAGCCTACAAAAAATCTGCCTGTCAAGGAACGCATCGAGATGGCTAAAATTACAGGAGTGAGAGCCCGCGCCGAGGTGGGGTCTGCGCGGGGAGGGCGAGCGAATAGATCCGGGCTCTGGAAACAGCTCTGACATTTGGTTCTCGTATCTCAGGATAAAATTTAATGAGGACAGGAATGTGTCTCCCGAATTCCCCTAAGAAATCATTAAAACATTTTGTTATTCCTAAATGTCTGCCCGATGAGTTAGTGCCCCTGCCGGAGCCCTCCTGCACCTCACGACTCTTCATCCTCCGACTTGTTGACAGCACGTCTGGTTCTTCGCTACCAGGAGACAAGGCTGCACGGGCGAGGGTTAGTGCAAAGCAAAGAGCCCCTATACGACACATGGGGCTCTCTGTTAGGAGTTACTGCTCGATCCCTCTACGCAGGGCCAGGCACCAAATCCATCGAAGGTGTGGAAAGGCCACGCTGCGCAGAGCCTCTAGACCTTTCCCAGAGGGAGCTCCGAGAGCAGCAGCATGGCTCCACTGCTGGGGAAGATGCTCACCAGTGCCAAGGTGGGAGCTGGTTTTGGCCTCAGTGTTCTGGGCAGCAGCTAGCCCTGTTTCTGGGGACACAGAGACTTGACAAGCTCATGCAGCCAACGAGGCAGAACCAGAGTTAGAACCCAGGACTCCTGAATGCTAGTCCAGCACCCAAACCACTGCACCACACTGCTTTGCTCCACACACAAATTTGACAGGAGGCAGGGTTGACGGCTGGTTGGCCAAGAACCAGGGTGCCAAGCCCAGCTCTGCTGCTGGACTTCACCATGTCGCTTAACTTTTCTATGCCTCAGTTTCCCCATCTATAAGATGGAGACAACACAGTCTTGCTAAACCAATTGTGAACATTTACCAGCCCAGGCACCAAATCTGCTCACCCGCCCTTACCAGTGTGATGAGAATGAAAAAACCAACATTATTTTAGTTGCCCATCAAACCCTCACTAGTTATCCAAGGTGAGCCAACAAGCAGGATTTTGCAAGGCTGCGGGAAGACCATTCGCACAGGGCTGAGAGACCCTGTGCTGGAAAGCATTGTTATTATTACTGAGCACGGAGGGGCTGACGGTTCATTCTAGGCTCAGGATGCCAAGTTAGTGTATGTTAACCTTGGGGTAACCCTTGATTGGCTCTCCTTTCAAAAGGGCTCAGCCAAACATACGGATGGGCATGAACAGCGCTAGGTGTAGGGTTCGGTGGATGCCCCTATGCGTGTTTAAACCCTTTACATGTCCTTGTCGGGAGCTGTGCTGTAAAAGGAGCTCAGTCACTGTAGTTAACTTACCGTCAAAAACACAACTGGGGATAGGAGCAGTGTTATTACAAGGCTTGAGCAAATGTATTCCTTTTCTAATGTCAAGATGCATTTGGCTCACGCGCCGAAATACAAGGATGGCAAAAGATGTTTCCACTTGTCTGTTCCACTCGCTCAGATCTCAAAAATAACACGGAAAAATTAGTGGCCACCATCCCGGCTGCGACGCAGGGAGAGCAAACACTGAGGATGCAGTGCCGTGGCCCAAAGGACACTGGAACGAGACCTGATTCTGGGCAATTGGAGGGATGGATAACGTGAGAGATGGAGCTGCAGAAAGCCCTGAGCACCAGGACAGGGCAATGAGGCCGGGGCATGCGGCATACACAGCAATCCTTGCTTGTAATGGCTGGTTGGCGGTCTGTTCGCAACATTAATTATTCAGCTAAGTAGCCAAAGCATTCCTTACCTGGTGCTCCAATTAATTGCTTGTAAACACTGAGGAAAGCCGTCTCAGCCTCCTTGCTTCTTTTACTAAGTGCAATCACCTGAGGGGAAATAAAAATATGAGGTAAGGAAATGCGAAACCAGGGCTTCAAAGAAGAGAAGAAACCCGTGAAGGCCAGGCTCTGGGCTCAGCGAGGCCGGCCTGAATCTGGAGTCACTCCCATCAGGCAGATCTTCCTGCCACATGCCTGGATTGCAGCACGTATACTCCAGATTGGCACGAGTGTAACTGAGCTCAGAATTCGTGCCCCGCTCCAAAGAATTAATAATTACCACCTACATTCGCCTCGCCCCGCGGGGGTTGTGCAACTCCAGTCACTGCAAAGCTGCTGGGTCTGTTCTCGAACCAGTAAACAAGACTAACACTTAACAGCCTTTGACCCTTTATTTTATTGCTTGGTGCCGCTTCTGATCATAAGTTATGATTGCTGGGGGGTTTCTGGCTCACTCTAGGAATTATTTTTAGCAAAGGTCACCGCTGACTTTAAGATCATAATAGAGCAACGCAGAGTCGGAGCGCCTCTGGGGCATGCTGCAGGAGGCTCTTTGATCAAGTTGTTTCCGCCATAACTACAGGGGTCTGACAGGGACCCGGGGTGGGGGAAGGAACTGAACTCCAAACCGAGGTCCTTATGACCAGAGAAGTGCCAAGAGAAAAAGATTCTACGAAGTTTACAACGGCTCTTGCGTTGCTGACCTAACTGACCTGTGCAGGGTTTAGATTCCACAGAGACAAGGAGAACCTGGGGTGTATTTCCCAGGTCCTGTAGGTCAAATTACAGCACACAAACCTGTTCCACCAACTTGTTTGCTTTTCGCCTTTATATGTTTTGCCAACTCCCATGATCTTCTAACTTTCTTATTTAATGGAAACCCCAAAGATGCAGCCACGTCCACACATGCTGCCTCTCTGCGGAGCTCTTTGCAAGGTCTAGTTCTATTACGTAGTTTGTCTAGTTGACCGGAGTTGAAAATGAGACTGGCATATTCACACGTGAACACTGGAAGTGATATTTCCAGGGAAGGGCCTTACGGGCACTTTATAAAAAGCCCGGGGATAAGGGCTCATCAGAATGAATAATAATGTGTCTAGCCCCTTTCATCAAACGCGGGAGAACATTTAACTGAACTGTTATTATCCCTGTAGTACAGATAGGAAAGTGGGGAACGGGCTCTGCCACAGACTTCCCCTGAGACCACAAAGTCACTTAGCCTCTCTGGCCCAGATCCTGGGAGGAATTAAGGCTCCATTGAAATCAATGGATGTTAGGAGCCTAACTACCTCTGAAGATCTGTGCCTTGGCTCCTCAACTGCATAACGGGGATAACAGCCCTGCCCTGCCCCTCGGGGTGTTGTGAGGTTAAAGGTATTAACATTTGGGAGGTGCTGGGGCTGTCTAAGTAGATACACAGAGGGGGCACACACTTTGCGTGAGGTCACGCTGGGAGTTGGCACATTTGGGAACAGACACAATGTCTCCCCTGCTTTCAGATCCCTCTTCCATCCATCAGAGCAACTGACTGCCTAGGAAGATGGCCTCGCCATGTGTCAGTGCTCTGCACATCCCTCCCATCGGGGTCTGTCTTTGCTCTCTGATAGTTGGAGGTAACGGGACTTTCAAGCAATCAGAGGCTAGGGACACTCAAAGCACAGGATCGCATCCCTGATCATCTTGGCTAATAGCCACTGATGCACCTATCCTCCATGAACTTCTCATTCTTTTTTTAATCGAATTATAGTTTTGGCCTTCACAACATCCCTTGGCAAGGAGTTCCACAGGTTAACAGGGTGCTGTGTGAAGAAGTACTTCCTTTTGTTTGTTTTATACCCGCTGCCTATTCATTTCATTGGCTGACCCCGGGTTCTTGTGTTATGAAAGACGCAAAACGCTCGCTGGTACCTACCAGGCTCCCCACCCAGGCACCCTCGCTGCAGAGGTAATGGCACAAAGAATCCCACTTAGAAGAACCTCGTAGGACATCAGCACCAGGCACCTCCAAGCAAAGCCAGCCTGTCAGTGCCTCCCTCTAATGCCTCACCCTAGTGAAAGCTGTCAGTGAAATTTCACTGGGGACAGGTAGCGCATTTCAGCTCACCTTCCCAGCTGCCACTCAACCCCCAAGTGATCAGGAAACCCCAAGCGATCATTAAACTCAAACTAATTATCTGCCAGAGATGTGGGCTAGCCTCCTTCTCAACTCTTGGATGAGAGTGAGCAGAAAAACCTACACACACACACGCAATCATCCCCACGTGTCTACCTCAGAGCCATATGCCTCAGCCCCAAGATGAGCCCAGAAGAGAGACGATCTTGTAGCTCTCTGGTAGGAATCATAGTGGTGATCTGGTGCGAGCAACCCTAAGCCCCGTGTTAATGCGCCATGTTAGCCGAAACACTAAGCACCGTGTTAGTGGAGTCCATTCCAGCCCTAGGAGAAAGACAGACTCATAGTCAGCTGCTCTACAGCACTGTTCAGCTGCAGGTCTCACGGTGCTCTACAAGAGAAGATCAGTATCATTCCTCCTTTGTTATGTATAGGGGGCAGAGAGAGCTCAGGTGAGTTGTCCAAGGTCACACAATGAGTCAGTGGCTGAACCAAGAAGAAAAGCCAGGTTTCCCGACTCCCGGTCCAGTGCCGTATCCACTGGACCAGCAAATTATGCAGCTCGGTCGACTTTATTTGCTTCTAACTGAAGGTGGCTTAGTGCTAGCCCTGACTGGAGCATATCCCTTACCCCCACAACGTTACACATGTGGAGCCCCTGTAGCGTGGGCTACAGAAACGGCTCCAACAGCCCCCAGGCTAGCCAACCCTGCCGACATGGGCTGGCAGAGAGGCCAGCTGACGAACAGAGGCCAGTCAGTGCGCTCACCTCGCTTCATTACATGCTTCGCAGTCAGCGTTAAGCAGCAGCACACTGCCTCTGTGCATGAATCCGTCCCTCCCCTTCGGGAGGAAAAACCCTCGCTGTTAAGGAAGAAAGATACGGCTGGCCAGTCACAAGGCGTTTACCTCACCCTTCTCCATGGCCCTGAAACCCTGCCAGATGCAAGCAGCTGTGCTTCCATTCCCAGGCGTTGTCTGTTACGTTACATCCCATCGTTAGAGCTGGACCTTCCACACGCTGGGCAGTTATTTTAATTTGAAACCCAAGAGAGGGCTCAGGGGGAGCCCCACAGAGAGCAAACATGAGCAAGACAGGAAACACAGCTTTGCAGTTAAGGCACAACACTGCACTGGGATTCGAGAGACCTGGGGGGGGGGGTCAATCCTTGGCTCTGCTACAGACTCACTGTGTGACCTTGGTCAAGTCACTTCTTCTTTCTGTGCCTGTTTACCCAACTGCAAGACAGGAACGATGCTGACAACACAGCCGCTGCTTGTCCAGTCTATTTAGATTGTAGACAGGGGCAGGACCATCTCTGACTATTAGTCTGTCCAGTGCCAAAGGCAATAAAGCCCCACCAGAGATTGCGACTGTGCGCTACTGTAATATAAATATAACAACGACCACGACAGTGTTAACAGGCAGAGAAATGTCAGGAGGTCAGAACAAGTTTATCTGGCTGAGGTTCTGTAGCCACTGTCCCATTTACTCCCCATACATCTCTGCTGCCCCCTGGAGGGCAGGAGCTCCCAGGTGCCCACATGGCAGTGAGGAGGGAGGAGGTTGTCAAAAGGATCCATGGAATTAAACACAGTAACTAGTTTACATTGGGTGCAGGATCCACACCCTGCGTCCTTTGCCTTTGGCTAAATTCCTAACACTACAGTAATGTCACGCCAAGATAAATCATTGATGCGCTTTGAGTAAATGAAAATGATAATTTAATGCTGGAGCTTAAATAAGAAATAAGCATTTCACCTTTTATTTAAATTGCAGGCTGCTGAGCTGGGTCCAACAACACACACCCCGAAAAGCCTCGGCCACGCTGACATCTTCAGGTCACGGTGGGATGGCTGAGACCCCAGTCTCCCCCTCCCTTTGCTTTCAGTCCTCGCAAACCCGGGGGCCCTTCCCATCAGGGCGTGCAACCTCCCAGAGGGGCTGCGGCCAGACTCCCACTGCACAATTCAGAAGTGTTGCATGGCTAACAACAGACCAATACATTAGTCCTGCCACAATATCCCCATTCAACATTGATGAGCATGAATCTTTTACTCCAGTTAATTTTTCAGCATTTGCCTACACAATACTGGTGGTTTTCCCCACCCGCTCCCACCTGACAGAGCTCTTTGTTCACTAAGGCCCTGACTGTCTAAAGGTTTTTAACTTCCATCAAACTCAGTGGGAGTTAGGTGCCTAAATAGCCTGGAGAATCTGGATCAAAGTGACTTTGTTCAGAACTTTCACGTTCATCCCCGATGGCTTTGCTGATGCCGGAGAACATGATCCGTCGCCTTCCTGCACTTGGATAGACGGGGGAAAAAAGAGGTTCAAATTAGGGAACCCGGGACAGGCAAATATCCCCTTCCAAAGAGCATCTCTGTGCTACCGCGTGGATTTCACCCCAAGCACGAGCTGCCACGGAGATTGAATTGAGGAGTCTCAGCACAGAGCCTAAGGACTGAGCAGGTCTCTGAAGGCTGTGGGGAGGAAGTCTGCATCAGCCCTGCTTGGAATTGGATAATCAACGATCACCTGACTCTTTCCCGAGCGCTAAGTCTCTGCTCCTGCATCCAGCTGAGCCTCCAGGCAACCCCCCTGACCTCGCCGGGGCACTGAGTAGCTATGGCAATCCGCCCACGTGCTGTCATTGGGGGAGCAGGCCGTGAATTCGTAACAGAAGTTAGGGGAAAGGGCTGAACCCAGAGCGGCGAGTGAGACTGGGATGGCATCTGTCTAGCCACATACTCCAGCTTGGGTTGCTGAAGCGCCAAGTCAATGCAGGCTGCCTGGTTTAGCGAGCGGAGAACCAGGCTGGGAGCCTGGAATCGCAGGGTTCTAATTCTCTCTCCTCCATGACTGGCCGGCAAGGTCTGGGGCCAGTTACTGGGCCGCGTATGTCAGATTTAAGTGGCAGGTAGGCAAGTAAAA